TCAACCAACAGTAGAGCAGAGATGGATGTTTTCCTTTTTCTTCTTCGTTTCTAACGCGACACCCTCCTTTTCTCTAGATGACTTCGGCCCTCTCCCAACCTGTCGGCTTGGGATGCTGGAGCCCCTTTCCTGGATGAGGCAATGACTTGTCCTTGTACTCGGACACGAATGGGTTGGGGTCTTCCTTCTGGTCGAGATTTCCCAGCGTATGGTTGACCTCGCGGTGCTTCGACTCGTCGGCGCGANNCTATTGATATCTTGTCAGCTTTTGTCTTTCATCACCCAAACTCTGCCACACGTACATGTACATCAACAAGTCGCGCATCGTACGGTGACCCTCAGGCATGTGCCAGTACTTGATGGCAATGTCTGGCGCCACCAACTTCTCCCATTCTGGAAGCCTTCCAGCATCCAGATCCGCAATCTCGCGTGTGTACGTGAGCACAGCTTCCTCTTCAAGATAGCCCACGAAGCGATGAGCCGTGCGAGGAGAAACCAGGTAAGCCACAAACATGGCGTTGAAGAAGACTCCTTGAGCTGCAAGAACCATAAACTTCATGAATGGCCCTGGCTCTGCCATCTTGAGAAAAGTAAGGAGATGCATCCTCTCGTTGTACGATTCTTCGAGCAGAGTCTCGATCCAGCCATTGTCCCTCTTCATTCGTCGCATCGAATGCAGGTGTCTTAGCATACCAGCGACCATGCCAGGCACACCGGCCACGGATTCGAGAAAGACATTTCGGATCATGTACTTCCTCGCTGTCATGACCTGTCTCTGGTTGGCATTTTTGGCACTCTTCTCTCCACTGGCTACTGCCTTGTCGTGCTTGTAGCCTGTAGCCAAATCCAGTCCCCATCGCATCGTGCGGATCGCCGCTAGTGCTGTCCAGTCTGACCATGTTTTGGCTTCTCGATGTGCGATTACCACTGCTTCCATTTGCTCCTTGGTGTANGCTGGCCATGTTGTCAGTCCTCGGTCCTTTGGATGTGTTGATAATGGCTGTTTGTTTGCTCACATAGGGTGTGGCCATGCTGCTTCTGTGGTCCTAATGCTAGGAGCATCTGGCGCTGGGAAGAACTGCTTCAACGCTCGAGAAGTTGTTGTGCTGAACTTTCTTGGTTGCGTATAGCTCATGACCAGAAATGTGGTCTGGGTCTCTCCAGCTACCGCTCTGGCGCAAGTGCAGAGGCCTCTAGGCGTTGTCAAGGTCCTTGTTCTGTACATTTTGGTGATTGAGTGGAGTAAAGGATTGAAAAGTGAATTGTATGTGTTTGTGTTGGTTTGGTTGGTTGTATACAAGAAAAATTTCTATGGTGGTGGCAAGTTATGCTACTGCTCTATATATGTTCCTACCTTGGTGGTAAATAGCTTTCTGCATCCGGTCAGAGTAATCGCCGTCGGCGGAATGTTCATTCAGCTACCAAAAATCCCTCCGAGCGACCGTTGGCTCCGAGTCTGACCGGGGCCTTATGCTATGGAGTGCTACTCCCGCCTACTCAATTGTCACACTGTAGCTCTGTAGAAATACATGACGCTTCCCAGAACAGAGCCACATCCACAGAGAAGGATAGCTCATGGTACTTCCTTCGCCATGCTTCTGACTTGGAAGCAATTGTTCAGTTCTATGAGTTGGTATGTCAATATGTTGCCTTGAAAGAGTCAATGCGACATGTGTTCGGCGAGGCCCTGAGAGCTCCTTAGCCCCTTGGCATTGCCATGTCGAGATTAGCCGACGACAACAAGTCGGCGTCTGCAACACGACAGAGAATCCAGCCTCGTAGAATGCCGGTCCGGGGTTTGACTGCACGAGAAGCACTCGGAATCCCAAGCACTTTTACTTGGGCAGCTGACCACTTTCCAGACAAACAACAGTCATACGCTGCGGCTTACACTCGGTGGTATCCAAGACGAAATCACCTCAATGACGGCGACATTGTCTGGTTGGTCTACAGATGGAGATGGCTCGGCGAGAGTGTGAGGCGTCGAGGAGTGAAAGACATGTTGGCAACAAGCTTGCTGATACCCACAGGGGTCCTCCCCATCTGCTAAAGACAGTCACAGTACTCGAGTATGACTGTCAAAACACACGATACCCTGTAGGGAATCGTGTGATCCATCGAGACGTGTCATCTCTGTGGTATCTTTATGGCCACACTCCTGACCTGGACATGGTTGTGCCTTTCATCACTTAGTCGATGACTCGGCTCCAAGAGAAGTTGCATGATCGAATCTTATCAACTACATCACTTGCAGATGTGAGACTTATGATCAAACAGCTAACTGGAACGGCCTTGGGCAAGAACGCAATCACTCGTCGAGCAAGGGATCTCATCCGTCACATGTATGTCTGCTTCTAGCCTTATACTGATGCATCTCTGCCTTCACATGGCTCTGACAACACATATGAAGAAGATGAAGAGGATGAAGAAAGAGAGCCATGGGATACTGATGGTAAATGATGATTTGTTCAGATCTGACGATGAGAAACCCGTCAGACATGACCGACAATTGTCACCACAAGACGAGGACGAGGACTCGCAGGATGCATCAGGGCTAAAGCCAGTCGCCTGGCACACTTGTGACCCAAGAGAACATGGGGTGTCGTACGAAACTCTCGTGCAGAAGACAAATTGAAAGCCCAAGAACTCGAAAAGTCACCTCACGCACGCTTCCGCTGTCCATTGGCTGGATGTGGTAGGATCATGCCTGAGAAGGCAACTCTCCAAGACTTTTGGATGCATGCTTGCAATGATGAGCACCTACTTGTCCTCTACAACCAGAACCACCATGGGTGCGCGCTTGGATGCCATACAGGTTTTACTGACATCCTTGGTCGCCTCTGCCACTACGCCTTGCAGCAGTGTGGCATCGACAGACTTGAAGGCTACCAGTGTACTACCCAAGGCTATACCGGACCACCAGACAACAAGGCTTTATCAAGATTGACGCACTGGATAAAATGCCACGCGAAAGAAACGTATGGGTTAAAGAATGCACCATTCTTGTGTAACTCCTGTGAGCTAAGCTTTCCAAACTTAGCCATGATGCAGTACCACGTATTGGGTGGTATGAGATTGAATGAATACCACGGCAGAGGCTGTAAACACGTGATTGAAGTTGTGGCTGCTTTCGACACAACAGACATTATTGTTCTACAGTAGGCTGATTCCGCATTTGCTTATACATTGCTTTGCGTTATTCCTTTCGGCCAATTCCAGGACCTTCTCATTGGCCGGCACACAAGGGAGGTAGAGGATTTCCAAGCAGATTCTTATCAACACACAACATGACGCGGATCTGGAGTGATATGCGCGGAGCCGTTGAATCCAATGTGCCCACCGGATATCTCAGGGTGCTCGGTTGTACACCCCCAGAGCGTCTCAAAGTCAATCTGATTCCAGACTGGGCGACCAAGGACTCAGAACAAAAAGCCCTCCAACAATAAGCAATCCAAGGAACTCAGTCTGCTACACCGATCATTTCTGACGCCGCCGCTGCTCGATACAGGGATCACCAGGCATCGTGGATCGTCCACCAGGGTCAACGCGCGAGATCTGTCAAGTATTTCGATACCAAGAAGAAGGCAGGCTACGGTGGTGTAACTGCTTTTGATCTCACTACGCGACACGGTGCGTCATTTGTGCAGTGTACGTTTCATTGCACAGCACCCTGGTGTACAGAATCCTTTGCATCAAATACAACACTCCAGAACTTTTTCTTCCACATGGAGGAGCCTGTACATACGCAATGGCTCGCGACTCGGCCTGATATCCATCACTGTCGATTTGAGTGTGGTCAGGCATTTGTCACAGAGCACTCGCGGTGGCGTCATGAGGCCTCGCAGACATGTGCAAATCAGCCTGCTGCTGTGGACGTGATGCTGGTCTCTTGTCCTACCAAGAGCACAACAGAGTGCGGCAAATTCAACGCTACTGATATGCCTACACAGTTGGAAGACTATATGCCTCACTACGAGGCTAACCATGGAAGAGGAGTGTTTCGTCACAACAAGACTGCGCTAAAGTGTTATACATGCAGGCTAAGATTCGTGAGCCAAAGGCTGTACATCCATCATCTAATTGCAAATGTCAGACACGAGAAGACCACGAAGAAGTTTCTAGGGATTGACGGCATCCCACATTTCCAAACCATGAAGCAGAAGGGCTTCACGTGGACCATCCCCGAGAGGTACATCTCAGTCAACACCACACCAGACCCGCTCCAGCCTCTAGATTTTCCTACTAATCAGCTGCTCAAGGCAGCTTACGGAGACGGCGATGGAGGTTATCATCTAATCTCCTTCCTCCGAAGCAGTGACAAGAAAGCGTCCTCAGCGATCTTGGAGAACTAGAGACTCGCCACCTCCAGAAACAAGAAGCTCCCATCGTACCATATGTCTTCACTTTTTCAATCAACAAACCTGACCTGCTACCATTTCCTCCATCGGGGAATGGTGGAGATGTTGATCTCACCTAGTGTATATACAGCACGTGCATAATTTGAGTTTCAGAGCAGCTCGCAAGAATAGAAGAAACTTTTCCACCAAGTCACAAGGTTCTCAAAACGGTGGTTCTGAGGGAAAAGTCTAAAGATGGGCCTGGCGGAGATGTCAATGACTCCGTGGTGGAAGTATGACCCTGCCATCATGGTTATCTACTAATGTAATAAGCAGAGCTCCTTCCTCTCCCCTGTTCATATGTGGATATACTCATTCGCAGTTGCTATGATAACCCAGAACTATTCAGAGTGCTATGTAGGACTCGGACACAACAGTGGGTGGTTGACAGACGGAAAATTGCAATCAGACAAGTTCATCCTTGACTTGACCACAAGAAAGTTGGTAGAGTAAGAGAATAGAGTGGAAGCAAATAATAAATTGGATATAGGGTATTATGTAAGTAAGTATCAAAGCAGCGATGCGTACAAGTTCAGCTGTTGATACCAGTATTGGACATGCTTTGTGAGAAAACAATGTACATGAATGACCCAGACGTGACGTCTAGAACATCTGGCGATCCCTCATCTCGACAGGAAGGAAGACCATGGTGATTGCGGAAAGCCAGATGCCACCAGCACCAAGCCAGAGGATACCCGAACTTTGGTCGGCAAGCAAACTTGCTCCAGCGAACGGCGCAACGATACCAGCGATGCGACCCAAGCAAGACAGCATTCCACTGGCACTGCCACGGTAGGCGGTGTCGAACAACTCAGGGGCGGAAGCGTAGAGGACGGCATTGAAGTACTATCAGGAAGAAATTAGCTCATGATGCAAAACCGAAATGGCTGGATTCCAAGGACTCACAGTCTGCATGATGTATTCAAAGGCGTTGAGACCAACGTAGCCAGCCGTGTTCGTGACTTGGGTATACATGGCCATAGCAATACCCTGACAAAGAGCAGAGAAGACAAGCGACCATTTTCTGCCGACAAGAGGCAGTTGGACAGATGCCATGGCAATGACAGCACCGAGGATACCAGGGGTATAGATGTAGATGTAGTGCAGGTATGTGTCGGTGACGGAACCAGATGCGCTGACTTCGTTTCGGAGAAGGATCAAAGGCAAGAATTGACTGGCAAGGTTGAAGGACCAGTAATCACCCNNTGAAGAAGAGAACATTAGCTGAGATTCGCTTGGAGCATAGGTAGGAGCACTCACCATATAGGCAATGGCCAAGAGTACGAAGATGAAGACCTGCAGCTTGTTGGTGAAAAGAGCTTTGAGGTGCTTGAAGCTCTTGGCCGTATTTCTCAAAACACGCTTGAGGGTCTCCATTGTGGTAAGAGGGCGGCCAGCAACTTCGAGCTCGTCAGTAGCCAACGAAGAGGATTCATCAACGGCGGCGAGATGAGCAACAGTCAAGACTGGTGGAGGGGCTCTGTTGAACTTGGCAATCTTGTGCAGGACCTCGATGGCCTCGACGTCTCTTCCTCTGCTGAGCAAAAACTTGGGCGACTCCTGGAAAGTGAAGACAAAGTATCGCAAGCAGAAGACAACCAAGGTCATGCCTCCGAGAATGATGAGCGTGTATCTCCAACCCATGTTGCTATCGGGCGTGCAACAAGGCCTTTGGCCAGTACCACAAGCGGGCAGATTGATATCGCAACGCCACTTGGGTCTTGCGGCGGTACCATAGGTGATGGCGGATGCGACGACAACGCCGATGGGCTGCCATAGAGAAAGAAGAGCGACGAGGAAGCGGCGGTTCTGCGGGAGAAACTCGAGAGCGATGGTGGCATCGATGGGGATGTTGCCGCCGAGACCTAGCGAGGAGAGGAAGTAGATGCCACAAATGGCTCCATAGTTGTACTTGGGGGCAGCCNNTGGCTGAGGGTTAACATGTGACACACTGTTTCTTGACGGCAGGCGTACCAAAATCAGACCAAAGACCGAAGTGATCAGACATGTGAGATTAAAGGCCAAGCGACGGCCAATGACATCGACCAGAATACCAAAGGTGAAAGCACCAATGGCCAGACCAGCGTTTGCACAAGCAAAAATGTCTCCTTGCCTGGGATCAGGCACATTCATCTCCTGGTAGATGGCTGAAGCAATCAGACCAACACCTTGCGACCAGGCCAGATCCAAGAAGTAGCCGAAGCCGCACAGGAACCAGATGCACCATTGGTACCTGCCCATGCCAAACTTGTCGAGCTCGGCATTGATCAGAGCCGCCTTCTTCTCGAAAGGTGTGAGAGAGTGCGCAGTTTGGCCCTTGAGGATGTTGCCGAATGAGATTCCTGCTTCGGGCGCCACGGCAACTGTGGCCTGGCCCACCTCGGCCTCAGCCTGGTTAGAGGACATGTGCCGCAGGCTCTTCTCATCTTGGGTGTGCATGTCGTCGCTCTTCTTGGAGTGCCTTAGGAAGTCCATGGTGGTGATGGTGTCGTGTCGCTTGACACTAGCGAGCTGAGATTGCTTGCGTCGAAGAGTGTCGGCCGGGTTTGTCGCAACTGCCAGCTATGTCCAGTCGCGTGAGTGGATTGGAAACGGATGCAGAGTGAGAGGAAGGAGCGACCATCGCCTGATTTTGTCTTATCGCTCGCCTCGCAGGATTATGCGCCACTCCAAAAAATTCTTGCTGCCGACCATGTCAATTACACTTACCGCTTGCGGATACCTGAGAGCGTTTACTGGTTCTGCTCAAGCCGCTATACGCAGTAGCGACCCTCGACGCGATCCGTCCCCAATCCATCAGTCTGGCAATCCTTCGAACGCGCAACTGCAAGCGCGGCGCTCCCTTGTCGCCATCTTTCTACTCACCTTGATACATACTCAACGCACAAAAAACACGAGAAAGTATGCTGTTGCTGTGGCAAGCTCAAGGAATGGAAGCTGAAAGGCAGATGTTATGTGACGTCGACATTATTGATCAAATCGTGGCTCGGGCCATTCGGTTGCGGGGGCTTGACACTGATTGGCTCTGTGGCTTAAACTCTATCTATCGTGTAGATCTTTGAATCCACCTCTCGGCACGATGCTACTCTTGTTGACCATGTACACGGCACACTACTGAATAGTCTCCTCGGCGATGACCGACGAGAAGAGGCATTATTGATATTGTACAAACTTCAGCCAGCCCGCTCATGGTGACATACAGTCATTCTCTCAGCTAGAAAGATGCACAATCATTTCCAGACCTGACCATGGAAATCACCCAGTCAAGAATCCCATAATCCCGAACCTCTGCCCGGTTAATGCCAATACGCCTATGCATGACCCGGCTTATCGCTTTTATTGCCGTGTAGACATTCATAACGCCTCTGCATGCTCAAGGCCAAGGCGATGGTAATGCGGATGACGACACAAATAGTGAGAGATGCAATGATTTGCCCTCAGATTTCCATAGCTGAAGAGGCCAAGCCATCGCCTGCGCCGTCGAGGACACCCAGAAGGCGAGCGTACGGGACGGTGATACGCTGGAGATCACGGTGCTTGCCTNNGTAACTTGTGTCAGTAACAATGGACATAAGCGAGATCAAAGGGAATTACTCACCCAAGATGAGAACGACTTCCTTGAGAAGCTCTTCTCGGGGCCATCCAACAAGATCTCCTTCCTCGGCCATCCAACCTTGCCCCTTCTCCTCAGCTGGTTTTTCCTCTTCATCCTCGAACACGCTACCCATAAGTGACCGCAGCAATTCTTCGACCTTGGCCTTTGAACCCTCTGCGCCGATACGCTTCGCGTACATGAGAAGATACAGGTGAAACTCTTCGCGTGCACCCAAGGTCATGGCCGCTGCGACACGGTTCTCGAGATGTGCAACACTCACGGCGCTCTCAAATCCTTCGTATCCCTCGGCAACGAGCAGCGTCTTGACCAGTCTTTGCAGGAAGTAAGCCCGACCACGCAGCAGAGATTGAGTCGTGGTATTACGTTCCAGTAGAGGGATAATGCCAGCAGACAAGTTCTCTGGTTTGAGGTCATCATCAGTAGTAGAAGTTCCATTGGCGCCTTTAGCAGTAGGTTGCACAGTAGATATAGATGTGTCGGCCGTGTTCCAGTATTGACTGCCGACTGCCCACCAAGGCTCCGACAGACGTTGCCAGATGTACATGGCCTGTGAATAGCTGTAACCATCTCCGTTGGACAAACCTACTATGATACGTCCTTGCGAGTTGAGTCGTGCAAACATGACGGCCGGTCCGTTGGTAGTGTGACCTTGCTGAGCTGTGGCAGCGATATCAAGCACAGGTGCGAGAGACACTGGTGGGTGTGGCGATGACATGGTCTTGATGTTCCAGACGTAGCACATGCCTACCGCATTCACGCACAAGAGCCACCAGCCCCGACAATCCATGATGACAGGTTGTGCATCAAGAATGAGAGCGTTGAGCAGCCTGCGACCTGCTGGAGTCCATATATGAACTGATGCATCTTCGCAAGCAGCAGCCCAGAAGTTATGGTTTCCTGTGACAAGCAAGACGGCTCGTGGTAAGTAATCTTGCCATATTGATTGACCTCTTCGAGAGACTGTAAGACGGGTAGGGTCGCGATCCTGGACTCTCCCTGTACGTGCAGGGCCAGAAGCATTGCGTGCTTCGAAGACAATTGATGGCTCGTCTCCTGCATCCATTTGCTGTCCTTCATTTTCCTGGTGATTGTTTGTATCGAGAGGCCGGACTATGGTCGCTCTGACCAGAGGCACCGCTAGTCTCACCTGACTGGTAGTCAGGCTGGGATTGACAATTGCAGGCCTAAGAGGTTCAGCGGTCTCGGTTGTGCTTTTACCAGCTGCGCTTGGCGGAACCAGACCAGCGGCAGTGTTAATGACCACGGGTGTGGCTCCAGTCTGTTGAATAGACGCGATGCGCTTCTCGGCACGACGATCATCATCTCCTTCGATTTCAGCAAACTTCCTCTTATTACCAAGTAATAGTGAAGCAAGACCGCCTCTCGGTAGACCGTCAAATGGCTTCGACAAATCCAGTGTTGTCTGAGGTGCATCATTACGACTAGCTTGGGAGACACTCGACATGAGTTGTGGCTTTGGTAACGAGGATTCTCCAACTCCGGAAGACGAAGAAACTAGCAATGGGGCTATGCGCTTCTTGCCGTCTTTTGTGATGGTTACGCGCTGCTTGAGCTTATCAATCTTTGCGACCTGTGGATCCGGCGGGGGCATTGCTTCCTTGGGCTCAGCAGTCTCGGTGCTGCCGTTTGTTGTAGCGTCCTTGGATGCACCATTGGTTGATGGAGGAGCGGGCTTGTCCGAGGAACCGTTCAAAGAGGGAACCGCAACAGTACCGTCACCCATCAGCTCACCCATGCGACCTTGAACACCCTTGAGCTCGTCGGCTTTGCTATTCTCTTCGAGTCTCAAAGCGTCCGGGCCTTCGACAACGCCGACCCTTCTGCCAGCGCCAAATCGTGCCAAAGCCTTGTCGTTGTTTACGACTGGTGCTGGATAGCCCAATTCTCCTGCAGAGAATACACAACAAGCGATGGTTCCATCCAGACTGGTAAAGTAGACAGTTTCGCCATCAGGGGACCAGGCAAGATCTGAGATGGGCTTGGCGGCAAGCTCTTGTGTGACGACAAAGGGTCGTGGGGAGTTTGTATTCCAGACGCTGAGTGTCTTGTCCTGACCGGCACATGCAACGACGGTGACAGCACCAGCAGCGAAGTTTTCCTGGGCACTAATGTCGCTAGCTGGTGGAGGTGGCTCAGGACAGAAGAGGCGTGGGGAGAAAGCGCACACCTCGACAGGACCCTCGTGGCCTATCAAATTGACTTCGCTCTCCCAGCTACCGCGTGTGACTATTGCGACCGAGCTTACAGGACCATTGACGGCGTTGGCAGCAGCGATGTGAGCTCCGTCCGGAGACCAAGAACATCTGCGGAAGTATGTGGTCAGGGGGGATGTGGTAAAGGGAACCGAGACGGTGGCTTCGAGGACGAAATTGTTGACCTGATCGTAGGTAGTGGCATTGGGAGGCGGCGAGGTAAAGCGAAAGATGCGTATGGTGCGGTCGTCGCTGGCGGTAGCGAAGTATTTGTTTGCGGGATCGAAAGTGATACCCTTGACGTGACTCTGGTGTTGCGACAGCGTCTTGAGCTTCTCGAAAGTATGACCAGACCATACAACAACCTTGGAGTCCAAGCCCACCGAGACGAGGATTGAGGAGTCGGCCGACCAGCCAAGGTCCTGGACATCGTTGTCGTGACCGATCAGACGGCGGAAGATGCGCCAGTTCTCGACGGGAGGAGTTTCGTTGCTACCGAAAGTGGTATGGGCGGGAGGGTTTGGGTCGAGGTTGTAGATGCACACAATCTTGTCGTCGGCGCCCGAGGCCAGGTATTTGCCGTTGCCGGAGAAGCGCACAGAGTGGATGGTGCCCGAGTGGTAGCTCATAGCCGCCAGCTGTTTGGGCTTGGTGTAGTCTGCATTGGCGCCATTGCGGATTGCGTCGGTCGACCAGATTCGCACATGTCCATCTNNGTAGAGCGTTCGTCTTAGCATGTCTGCTCCTGTTTGCATGTCGGTGGGACAAGGCGCACCTCCTCCTGCTGTTACCAGGCGGCTTCCGTCAGGCGAGACGTGACAGCTGTATACCTCGAAGTCCTTCTTGTCGCCTGTGAGGCGTCTTTGTCAGCTATAGCTCTGTAAAATCCAACAAGAAATCAAATGCGACCAACCTCCGTGGGTCAACCAGATCGGTTTGGTGAAGCGCATCGCGACTGTTTATCGAAGGTGCATGCTCGGGCTCGCGAGGGCTGCAAAGAAGGATCTTAGACGAGCGTATTCATGCGACACAGATTCCTCGAAATGTAGCGCAGAATGAATAGACGGAGTGTTTTCGTATGTGTTGTCGAAAGACAACATGCAATAATTCACATGCTCCATCAACGTCCACCTGGATCTTGGCGCATACATGCCAACTCTAACAGCGACCCTGTCCTTCTATGGAGCTTCACAACGCCGATCTCGAATATGATGCCATTGGTCCTGTCCGAGCATTGCCTTTCTTCTTGTCCACCAAACAACACCTTCTCTTGTCCATTACCATCTGCAAATGCGAAGGTTCAGTTCAATCACACACACAATGTCTCAACGTGTATGTACATTCTACCTGATGATGAATGTTATAGATCCGGAACTGACCAGATACGTCACAGATCAGCTTCAAGGTCGAGGGCGAAGGTATCTTGACCTGACGAGATGAACGAACTTATGATACTGATGTTTCTCTAGTCCAGGGTGTCAACTTCAGAAGCTTCACAGTCAAGCAAGCCAAGTCTCTGGGAATCACTGGCCACGTCCAGAATGCTTCTGATGGCAGCGTACGTCGGACCAATAGCATTTGAGCATAACAGCAATGCTAACTCTAATGCTAAGNNGTCACTGGCGAGGCACAGGGTGATAGCAATG